GGGGGGAGGGTGTGGAAATAAATCAAAAAGCATCATAACGCAAGCCCATCTTTGAAAGATTCCAGACTACAACATATTAAGATCTTGAGATAAAGAACTGGTCCTTAAAGAAGGTAATTCCTGAGCTATGCTATAGTTTCACAAAACTAAAAGATTTCAAGTAATCAGTTTTAAACATTACCCAACCTTATCCTTGAAGTAGGAGTACAAGAACTTCTTCCAGTCCTCGGTTACTATGCTCTTATAAGCAAACTGCTGAATGTAAGCCTTCAGGAAGCCAACGAAGACATCTAACAGTTAAAAAAACAAGCATTTCAGTGTTTGAAATTAAAGTGGGAAACAATAATATATATAGTCTGCATAATACATACCTGGTCCTCCAAGAAGTTGTTCAAGATAAAAAAGCAAAGCAAAGCCTTTCTCATACGGAACAGATGAATAGACAGCATCAAGATCTACTTCATTGAGATTAGGGACGAGGTTAGTTATAGGATTTTCATCTCCAAGAGTATTTATCTGTGACAAAGACACAAGAAAATACATTCATCCAGGAAAATCAGCATTCTTGCCAATCACTACTAATCCTATTTATAAAGGTATAATCCATCCAAAACTAAGATGGCCTCATTTCCAAGCGTTCTTTCTCATTCTTTTTCCTGAAGTTTTGAAACTGCACAGAACGTAGCTTACTAAACTTTTTTCTCATTTTATCAGTGTCCGACCGTGTATCGAACAAAGATGTTAGGATCAATTACCCTGTGCTCCAGTCATCTCACAGCACTTCATTACCATCATGCCTGTCATAATTACAAGCACCTATAGTAAACTATCTATATTTATCCCTTTATTAACAAACTATTTAAACTACTTGATTCAAACAGGTGACGTAAAGCATAAAATACAAGGAAATATTCATAGTAAACCAGGTAAACTGCATCACCAAACTGAATGAAAGGGACATCTACTATCACAGGCTGGAAATCTGAAAACTAAAAGTTGAACTATGCTACCTAAACACAAAACTAAACAACCCTCCTAGACAGTAACAGATTAGGAATATCCTCAATTATAATGCAGTATGTAGGAAAAAAAGTAATCAGTTACTTGCATGAGGCATTGGAAATTTTGGTCGTGCTTGGAGATAATTTCAACAAGCTTTCAGCTGCTTACCAGTAGGTTAACAGGTAATAACTGCAGTTTAGCCATACCCAGAACAACCAAGAGGGTCTGTAAAGATGTTCATCCTTACCGAACAGCTTAAAACAGTTCAAAAAGCTTTATCTAATCTCTGAGTATATTAAGCTATCACCTTGAGAAGAGAACACTACCTTGGAATCAAAGTTGTTCATCCTCCAATAAGAAATCCTTAGGAAAGCCAACTAGACAAGTCTTATTTGTGGGAAACACAAGAAATCAGCTTTATTTTATTTAGGTGTATGCTTCAACATAAAGTTATCATAAACTTAAAAATATTTACCGTATTCTGCAGTTCCCTCCAACCTCCTAGGGCTTGAAAGTGCCTGAACTGCTCACCAAACAACCGACCACCAATCCTGCGTTCCAGGTATACAGTATGTCCCTCATTCAGCCTGGAAACACATTGACAAAGTCAGCACTGGTAGGATGGTAAAAAGGATTAGTTGATCTCTTTACAGATTAATTTTAAAATACGATTTGCATTGCATTGAACATCACACCTACCAAAAATGCTCCCATGTTTTGTTTGTTACCAAATTGCCTGTCCAGCTGTGAGAGATTTCATGAGCAATAACCTAAAACACAGAAAGCAGTGACAGATCTACTGTTAATGACTCCTCTGGAAAATGAACATCAAATCCCAACAGAAAGAAAAAATCCTAATGGGATCTCATTTATTGCACTACATTCCCAAAGCCAGTTAGCATTCACAGGTCTGTAAACTTAGCCATATAAATTTTATTTAGAGGACTAACACTATCCTACCAAACCTTCTCCAGAAATCATTTTGAATGTGCAGCCTGCAAGTCAGAGCCACGCTAACCAACAAAAATAATTCCTGTAGTAGCACGGTGCATGGTTCTCATTTATGAAATCACATTTCAGAATGCTGGATCCAAACCAAGTAATGGACTAGTACTACTTGCCCACCTAAGGAACTGTTGCAGTGCCAGGACATTCTAAAATATCAAACAGGAAGAAAGCAGTCACCCCTAGAAGGATTATGATGCATGACATATTAAAAAGTATCCATGTCAATACTTCAGTATTCTTGGGATAAGACAATATGTCTTTTTTAGCAGTACATCAGTCTAGTAGAAAGACGTATCAGATAAAGAGCACCCAGAGGGCTCAACTTTCCAGAAAAAACAGAATTTACTCAAATCGTACTCATGATTTCCACTTTAAAAGCAAAGAGTACACAACGCGAGTTCTAGCACATAGACAGACACAGAGAAGAAAAAGCTCCCTACCAATTATTTCAATTAGCTAATTCAGTTGTGGTTGTTAAACATACCTACACTCAGGACAGGAAAAGAACTACTGAGTGCCCAAATTCAGTCAGTCCCCTACCCATACAGGCACCCACATTACTTTCATCTGTTCATTATACAAAACAGATATGTCTCCAGTTTTTCTAGAGTCTACTTAGAACTAAAACTCACTTTGTAAGACTTAAATAACTGCCTTAACTTTTAATTCCCCCAATGAACAAGAAACCAAGTTTTCAAATATCTATTACTAAGGAAGTTAAGATGTAACTTCAAGTTGGGTTCTACTTGAAGACATGAACCTATTTTCACTTACGTTTGACAGAGATCGATCACCTGCCTGAAAAAAAAAAAAAAAAAGGTAGTTGTCAGTTCAAGTAAACCTCAAAATACACCACTTCATGCAGTTTCACATATGATCCCCAACTTGAAAAGAGGCAGGAACATTTACAGTTCTTTCTAGGCAGAAGATTAATCCAATTTGTGGATTAATATAATCAAACTCTAAGGAAAAGCTGACTTTTGTCAGTGTTGCACTTACCAGTAGCGTTGGAGTTACAAAAGTAAGACAAGGGTTCTCCATACCACCGTAAGGAAAAGAAGGTGGCAAGACTAACAAATCATACTGTCCCCATACATAGGGTCCTGCTAAATCTTCTGCCGTTTTCAGCATAGCTTCAGCCTGAAATAAGAATTGACGTTGGTTTCTAACACGACTTCTGACAACAAACACTGAACCAGTTACAAGCTATTTGATCTCACACTTCATTCTCTTTCAGTTTGGGATGTCCTACATGCAAAATGAGTACAAGACTGCATCAATATTTATGCTCGGTAGTAGCTTTGTGTTGTGATAGAACAGTAGCATTTTTGGGGGTGGGAAGTAGAAAAAGAAGGGTCACAGATGAACAAAACACTAAACCACAGTCTGTTCCTTTTCCAAAACTATGTGAAAAAGTTAGTTTACAAAACATTTTTGTTAACTACCCACCTCAGCAAATTCATAGGCTGATTTATCCACTAGCTCCTTTTCCGCCCACACCAGTGTCCTTGGGCCAATCTTTCTGTTGAAAGTAAAAATGCCACTAAGACACCATGAACTGGAAATAACTATGGGAAACTAATTCAGAGAGCATACGTTTAAGTGTGCTCACGAGTAACCTGTGTTGCTGAAGAAACTCTTGAGAGAGTCTTCCTCTCTTTTTCCTCTCCACTGCTACAGTAACACTATAAAAAGCTTTAGAAAACAAACCAACCGCACACATCTACTGTTCAGGACAAATAAATAGGAAACACATTTAGAGATTTAAAAATGCTGTAAAGTCGTAATATAAAAGCCTTATTACAGGCTAGATTAACATATCCTTGTGGGCATGAGGAACGAGGCTGAAGCTATCATTTTCTGACAAAGCTTATCTGTTACTGGAAGAAAAAGATACTCTTCCCTGAGTTAGAAAAAGCCTTTAGTGGTTCCAATTGATTCCAAACTCTTCATGGTATTTCTTTAACTTACAGAAAAAGTACATTCTATAGAAAAAATGATGCAAGAGTGAATCAAGATACATGCAATTTGATACAAATAAACAGGCTCATTGAACCTCTAAGACCTTTTAAAACTAGAAACAAGACCAAGAAACAAACAGAAAAGGTAACTCTGAAGATTTATTATAATTATTAATATTTGTCCTTTGCGCAGATTCACTCACCTGCTTTCTAAAGCTCCAACCACTAAAGCAATCAAGTAGCAAGGTATGGGAACCTAACAGAGAACATGAGAAAAAAGAAATCTTATTTTTAATGTGATCTATCAACACCACTGTTTCAAAGAAAAACAAAAGTATGTAAGTAAAGAAGCATGCACATTTCCTCCACAGTTTCCCACCTTATGTTATAATAAAGGTATTGTTTTTTTTTCCCCCAAATGACATTCCTTTAGCTACAAGAAGTACTTGTGTCATGGATCTTTCATGTAAAGGCCACAAAATTGCAGTATCACCTCTGTTTGAAATAAATCTGCATATGTAAGAGCATACCAAAATGCTGCTGGTTTGGTTACTGCTCAAAAGTTCAAAAGAAGGTCAGTTTTCCATGTTCAGTTCAGTTCCATTAAATTTTATGGAAGGAGAAGTTAAGAGATACTGCTTAGATAACAGGCAGTTGTATCAGAAAAAGATGCAGGAAAAGCTTTAATGAATTCAAGTAAACAAGGAATATTTATGGCTAAAAAAGATTTAGCAAAATCAAAATGTATGTATTTGATTACCGTGTTTAGAATTAAAATAAATTCTAAATATTTGTTATTTTAATGAAAAAAAAATTCTGAAGCTGCAGTATCTTTAGAGAAATTCTTTCTCCCAGTGCTCTGGAAACAGAAGGCGATAATGCAGCCATTCCTGTCGAAGTTCCGCTATATCCGTCTTAACATTAAGACCTTAAATCATAATTACTTGGAGATAACATTTCAGAAAAATTTTATTCCATCATTTATTATCCCTAAGCCATTTCAATATCATTTATTAAAATATCCATATCATCAGGTGTGTTTTAATTTTACATTAACCCACAGAACATATTCTTAAAGAGATTTAAGTCCATTGACAGGTTATTTTGATGCCCAATCTGCTAATCTGATATTTAAAGTTACTTCAAATCTCAATGGCTGTTGGGTAATAAATTCATTTTTACAGAGGCTGCTCTCCACTACACTTCTTACCAGTCTGACCACGCAGAAGCAAAAAAAGTAGTTTTAGGGAAGATCAGCACACATACGTATCTAAGAGTTTGATGCATTTGTCTTTTTCATCAAATGAAACGCATGCCTTTTCTAACAAATCAGTCTCACAGTTTTGTATGTTAGATGATGTGTATGTCTTTTTTAATGCATTTGTCTTTTTTAAATTTCTCTCTTTTGTGTTTAACGCATTTGACTTTTTTTAATGAAACATATGCCTTTTCTAACAAATTAATCTAATGGTTTTCTGTATTGGAAAGTGCAGTATAATTTCAAGTAGACTAAATGCTATGCCTTGTACAGGTCCAGCAAACCTATCAACAGTGTATTTCTAGGTAACATATAGCTCTAGATAACATACAGCGTAGAAGCTTTATGCACTAGACCGAGAGTGGCAAATGTTTTGGCTCCACGGAGAAAGCAGAGCACTGCATATCGAAGAGCTCACAGACACGGTGACAATTTTTTTTTCTTCTCTCTCTCCTCTTCCCTCTCTCAGGTTTCCCATAACAGCCAAATCAACCCAACAGCTGCTGCGGTTCAGAGTAAGTTCCCCTCCCCTCCTCCACTCACACAATTCCATCCCTCCATGCATGCATTTAGTTCCTCAGCAACCCAGATCAGCTTACTAAAACAATTTCTTTTTAAACTTATGTCAATTTTTATCAGCTTATTCAGCAAAATGAACTAGGCTCACCAAGAGATCCCATGAACATCAGAACTGTAACCCAAAAAGCTGTGAGAACAAAAAAGCCAGGAGAGTAAACTGAGACTACTAAATGGAAAGCTGTCCGGCGGAAAAGGAGCTAGGGATGTTGGCCAACAGCCGGCTGAACATGAGCCAGCAGTGTGCCCAGGTAGCCAAGAAGGCCAATGGCATCCTGGCCTGTATCAGAAACAGTGTGGCCAGCAGGACCAGGACAGTGATCGTCCCCCTATACTTGGCACTGGTGAGGCCGCACCTCAAGTGCTGTGTCCAGTTCTGGGCCCCTCACCACCAGAAAGCCCTTGAGGTGCTGGAGCGAGTCCAGAGAAGGGCAACGAAGGTGGGGAAGGGTCTGGAGCACAAGTCTGATGGGGAGAGGCTGAGGGAACTGGGGGTGTTTGGTCTGGAGAAGAGGGGGCTGAGGGGAGACCTGAAAGGAGGTTGTAGCGAGGTGGGGGTTGGTCTCTTCTCCCAAGTAAGAAGTTATAGGACAAGAGGAAATGGCCTCAAGTTGTGCCAGGGGAGGTTTAGATCGGATATTAGGAAGAATTTCTTCACCGAAAGGGTTGCCCAGAGAAGTGGTGGAGTCCCCATCCCTGGAGGCATTTAAAAGATGTGTAGATGTGGTGCTTAGGGACATGGTTTAGTGGTGGGCTTGGCTGTGCCAGGTTTATGGTTGAACTCAATGATCTTAAGCGTCTTTTCCAACCTAAATGATCCTGTGATTCATCAATATCAAAACCGTATCTGAAGTGACTGTGAACTGCATGCGTTAGGAGTAAGACCTTAGGTATCTGTTTACTTGCCTGTAGCACTTACGTTCTGACTGAAACGGTATATCTTCCGACTGCTGTCCTCTGGGTCAGGCATCTCTCCATCACGATGAGCACTCATAAGAGCCACCAGCTCTTTAGGAACAGATATCTGGAAGAAGGTTATCCAACTGTGAGGAACTCAGTGGGCACACAGGATTACATAATATATTAGAAGCAGCGACAGCAAAAAGAGTAGCCCAGGTTTGTTCTGTTGTTAAGTCCTCCCCCTCAAGCAGAATACAAGGCATATAGAAAATTTTGTCTTAAAGGCTGGTAATATTTAATTAACTAAAAGGACTACCTTTGAGAGAAGTTAAAAGTTTCACTTTCTTCAGACTACTGAATTGTAATGCCACATTGAACATCTCTCTTTTTGTTTCCTTAAACCGATTGGACTATTTATGCCAGGACTGCAAAGATCCCAACTATGTACCAGAGCATATTACTTAAGGCATATATGAGTCATTTCAAGTATTTTTACTTTACAGCATTCTTTGTTGTTTTACTGTCTGCTTTTCCTGATTTAAGAACGTATTCCTTTCCTACTACAGCACTTTTTTTTTTTTTTTTTGAAATAAAGATACATGTGAATGAAAAAAGAGAAGATATATAAATAAAAGAAAATGGTAAATCTAGGGAAATGTCACAGAGAAGATGAGAAGTTTTTCGTTCTTTACATTAAGCTACAAGTCAATAGTCTCTGTTTTTATTTTAGGCCATATGCTGGCAGGTACAAAAATAACACTTTCACCCATTGTAGTGGTTGTCTTTATTTAGACTCACACGACTCCAGTTCACCTACCTCTGCATAGTATGTTAGTTTCACAGCAGGTGTGTCTTGGCATGGAAGGATGGCTCTGCAGTGGGTAGCCTGGAGAGGAAGGGGGAAAAAAAAAAAAGAAAAAGAAAAAGCTAAAACATAACAATCTTTCTGATGCAGAGGACTAGAAACAAATCAAACTAATATATTATATTGGAAATCTATATAGCTCCCCCAGAGAATTCACTATGTACAAACCGATACTTCCTATCGCTTATAATAGTTCTCATAGTTTAGGCTTTTAGAAAAGAAATAGTGGTAGGTAAGACAGATCAATAGCCACATATATCGATTGCAAAGAACTGCATGTTCTTCAACAAGAATCCTGAAGAGGGTAAAGCAGTTCTGGAATTATTAAACTGCAAACATAGAATAAAGTCTCACCAATATCCTGACTTAAGAAGTGGTTTCATTTAGGACCTTTGACACACACAATTATAAATTATGAGCTACTGTACTTTCGCCTCCTTGCCTTCCTCTCCAACTCTTTGGAAACCAGGGGAAATTACAGTGGTATGTAAACATGAAGTCTGGAAAAAAAAAAAATTAATCCACTCAACCTGACACTGGCTGAAGAGAAATGGGTGTTTCTTTCCAGAAGTTTGCTCTGGAGTAAACCATTGAAGAGCTGAAGACTTTGGAGAGCTTTCAAAAGAGATTTCGACAATTGCTTCTTGTCCCCTGTGTAATAAAGAATATCATCAGGCTGTTTCGACATAACTCCTGCTCATTACTGAAATTCCTCTACAAAGATTTCTGGAAAACAGAGCTGCAGCACTGTCTCAAAAGCATCAAAAATAAGAACAAGCAGCATATTAAAGCCGGCTTTTCCCCTTAAATTATGATAGTAAAAATTAGCTGGTTTATTTCAATTTTCGTGTCCCAAGACACTTCTACTATTCTTTTTACTAACCAGAAACTTTTTATCTTCTCTCTTCAAGGAGAACATGGACTTCTTTAAACTGACTGGATCAGCCACATACATATAGTTTTGCCACAACTATCTAACATTGTACACGTAAGTACAAAAAAAAAACCCACTGCAAAAAGCAAACAAAAAAGTGTATAAAGTCTATATAAGAACATACATGCTTTAATAACATAGGATTTGTGTATTCTGTAAATAAAAAAATTTAGAATTTGCAGCAGATGTTATGTTCTGTAAGCATGATCCTTAAGCTGAAAAAAAATACTGAAAATAGCAATTACTGGAAAACCCTATTAACAGTAGAGTTAACAAAAAAAAATTAAAAAATGTTCAAATTTTATTCAGGGTTTCAGAACTGGTGTAAAGTAAAAACTAACAGCTCTGTACACAATAGGTACCAGCTTGCTAACAAGAGAACACACACAAACCTGACACATTCATGCTCTTATTTTTTTTAAAAACATATCAAAACCATCGCTGACACCAAAAGCACACAGAAGTACTTGCTTCTGTTATCTGAAAGTTCCAGGTTATACATACAACTCTCTGGAATTAACAGTCCAACCATAAATCAGAACAAACTTCAGCTAATCAGAGGAGTTGGATACTAGATATGCTGACCAGCTATACATATCTGGTTTATAACCAGTATTCCAAAGTACATATTTGACAAGAAAAGAGAAAATAATTTGTATTACCATAAGGCAAATTGCTTACTGAACAATCAGACTTTCAGTTGCAACTCCTACCCTTTCCTATCACTTCTTTATTGATACTTACATAGGGGACAATCTCACACAAGATTATAAATTCTTATGATCACGACTCATTACTCCCTCTTTGTAGCTTTTTTTCTTACAAGGAAATCTAGCAATAAAAAACAAAAGGCTGAAAGTCAAACAAAAGAAACAGGCCTATGTTTCTGCTGTGGCCTGTTTAAGGACTTCATTTACTCAGTTTCATATCAGATCATAAGTGTTTCCCCAGAAAGGACAGCTATTATATGACATTCCTTTCTCTTCCACACTATGCGTGTTTCTAAATTGCACTAATTCAGAGAACAACAACAAAAAATTAGAAACCAGACATGAGTTTGTAGAGGTAATAATGAGTTTTGTAAACAAAACAATAAGAAGCAACTTAGTACACAATTTTATTCAAACAAGGGAACCTCCTTATACGATCACAGCTTTCAGCTTTGGCACATGAGATACCACAGAGTTACAATGGAGTTACAACATACAAAGCAAACTGCCAAAAAATGTCATCTGGCAACAACTTTTTATTTTGTGCAACTTAAGAGGCAGATTATGGTTAGTTCATTCTCCATCACGCTGCCAAAACTCAAGTTCTGCTTTTTAGGGACTTGTGCTCAGCATAGTCAATATAATAAAAATTTTATTATTTGAAAACACTAATCATAGCGGTAACCTCCAGTTCTACAGAAGTGCAGGATCAGCCCTTGTATAAAAGAAAGGAAAACATATATACGCCATACTGTAGCAATTCTGAACGTGACAAAATTCAGGTAGTTGAAGCAGAAAGAATATTACTGATAAGATGCACTGAAAAAACTGTGATACATTACACATCATTTTGCTTCTTAGTTTGGCAAGTCATTTTGTACAGGATATAAGACCTGGAAATGAGTACAAAGACTCTCAAAGTTTTGGCTGTCTAATGAAAACCAAATATTAAATTAATCTACAAGATCATATACCAAATAAATGCAACACTCTAATTTACAAGTCCCTTTGCAAGCTTTACACAACGACCCTACAGGCAGACAAGCAGTTTATACCGTGCATTTTTGAAACTACCTAAAGGAACAGGCAAAATGTGTACCTTCTTAGTTCAAAAGGAAGTGTGATTTCCAGGGGGGTCCCCTTGAAACTGTGCTTTTCTCCAAAACCAAATTTTGCATCCTGTCCGTTTACAGTCACTTTAAATACCTGTACATCTTTTGTATCCAAGACCTGTAATGAAGCAAATGTTGCATACTTATTAAATAGCGTAATAATTAACATAGCATTCATCAAATCTTAAACACAAGTCCCTCTGAAGAAAAAAGCATTTACTAAGACAGACCAGAAAAACTGAGTAACTATGTTGAGTACTGGGAACCAGAATTTTAACACAGCAGCACTAAACTTACAAAACTGGAGGGGAAAGAGGCAGAAAACCAGCTTCTGACCATGAAAGCGGAAACAGGAGTTTATTAAGTAAACTACGAAGGTAAAAGACTTCACAGGGCTACTATGAAATAAGGAGAACGATAGAAAAGCCCCTGCCAAGGCTCCCACCCTATAACTGGCCACTATGAACCAAGACTTTCACTCAGCAGAAGATGAATTAAATAATGCAGCATCCCTGTCTGCAGCATAAGAAAAGTTTCGGTCTTTGTTATTAACAAGATGGATTTTTTTTTTCCCTAAAAAATAAGGGCCAATCACAAAAGGATTTTATGGAGCTAGCAGGAAAATCCCACAAACCCAAAACTGCAGTTTGCACACAGGGTAACGCTAAAGAGGTTTATTTGCATAGCTAACTGAGAAAGTAGCTGGCGTAATAAAACACACACGTGAAAAAGCCACGAACGCAGCTTTGCAACGGTTTATTCTCATCTTTTCGGCAACGGGCTCTTCACCATTTTAACGGGAAAATACCTATTCCTGCTCTCGCCCTGCACAACGCGCCGGCTCTAGGCGCGGCGAGCGGCAAGCCCGGGCCGCCCAGGT